GTTAATGAGTCTTCCTCCAATCCTGATGCCACATTCTTCTTCATATAGTCCCAGCTTCTCAGATTATTTGCTCAGTATACAGATTGAGTAAGTATGATGAGAAGATATAATCCTGACACACAACTTTCCTGACTTTAAATCACGCAGTATCATCTTGTTCTGTTCAAATGACTGCCTCTCGGTCTATGTACAGGTTTTGAATGAACACAATTAAGTGTTCTGGGATTCCCATTCTCTGCAATGTTATCCACAATTTATGATCCACACAGCTGAATGCCTTTGCATAGTCAGTGGTTAAGCACTGGGCTGCTAACCAAAAAGGTCGGCAGTTCGAAGCCACCAGCTGCTCCTCGGAAACCGTATGAGGCAGTTCTATTCTGTCCTACAGGGTTGCTATGAGTTGGAATCGACTTGATAGCAATGGGTTTGTTATTTTGGTTTAAACATCTTTCTGGTATTTTCTGCTTTCAGCCATGATCCATCTGACATCAGCAATGATACTCTTCATTCCACGTCGTCTTCTGAATCTGGCTTGAATTTCTGGCAGTTCTCTGTTGATGTACTGCTGCAACCACTTTGAATGATTTTCAGCATAATTTTACTTCTGTATGATATTAATGGTTTTGTTCAATAATTTCCACATTCTGTTTTTCTTTGGAATGGGCACAAATATGGATCTCTTCCAGTTGGCTGGCCAGGCACCTGTCCTCCAAACTTCTTGGCATAGACGAGTGAGCACCTCCAGTGCTGCATCTGTTTGTTGAAACATCTCAATTGGTATTCTGCCAATTTCTGAAGCCTTGTTTTTCACCAATGCCTTCACTGAAGCTTGGACTTCTTCCTTCATTACCATTGGTTCATGATCATATGCTACCTCCTGAATGGTTGAACGTTAACCAATTCTTCTTGGTACAGTGACTCTGTGTATTCCTTCCATCTTCTTTTGATGCCTTCTGCATCATTCAATATTTTACCTTCAATATTGCAATTTGAGGCTTGAATTATTTCTTCAGTTCTTTCAGCTTGAGAAACCTTAGGGGAGGGAATCTCTACACCAAAATAGCTTACCACATAATGGCTCACTGCTTACTCAAAACGTTTATTTTAAAACCTATCGGTTACAAAAAGAGAGAGAGCTTAGTGTAAATTTTTAATAAAAGTTAAAACAGACTAGGACAGAGCTAGCATGCTCAAAAAGCTTTGTGCTTTTAAAAGTTTATCATCAGCTGGCTTTTTCATTTTCTGCAGTCTGTTGCTCATTTTTGTTCCCACATTCATACCTAGTTATGAAACACTTAGAAAGGTCAAGTTGAGATAGGTTTTTTTGGTTTGTTTTTGTTTTCTTTAATTAACTGATCGACTGACTTTTGTTTATACAAAAGTCGTTCAAAGCTAGATATTCACTTGCCAAATGTATCACACCCTGGGGGAGATAAGAAGAATCACATCTCACCAGTACAAATCCGACTGTATAAATTATAAAATTACAGGAAAAAATAAGAGTTTTGGCTCAAAGAGAGACTGAATGTTCCTTTGAAAATCTGCTCTAACAGGATGAAATTCCTGTATTTTAAAAATTACTGCTGCCCTTCAACTGCCCTAGAACAATCCTCAGTATTCTTGGTTGGCAAAGGGATTTTTTGTTTGAATAAGAAAAAAATGCTTTGGTGTTGGCTTTATAAAGATAGCTATTACATTATAATATAATAATTGGCTTTATAAAGATAGCTGTTACATTATAATGTAATAAAGAGAAATGTATACTGCTTTATTTTAGAGGTGAGAGGCAAGTAGATGCTACCAAGCAGTATTTATTATTTTAAAAACTACTGAATTTATATAGCTAATGTTTTTTAAAATGCTCGATACAGTAAAAATACATTTACTTTTATTTGGTAGCTAGATCAATACTGCAGGTTTTCTTATAAAAATGTTTAAAGAGATGATTATTAAGTAAGAAATAAGATGACAAGTTCACATACATGATTGCTGTTGTTCCCATCAATTCGTCTCCGACTCGGGGCAACCTTATGTGTAACAGAACAAATGCTACCAAGTCCTGTGCTGTCTTCACGATTGTTGGTATGTTGGAGTCCATTGTGGCAGCTATTGTGTCAATCCATCTCACTGAGGGTTTCCCTCATCTTCCTTGGCCCTCTACTTTTCCGAACATGTCCCGTTCTAGCAACTGGTCTTTCCTGAGCACTAAAGGTTAGTGCTCTTTCTTTAGGACTGGTCAAAAAAAGCTAAAAGTTTTGGAGTCTAAATGAATGTCTATAGTCATGCTGTCCATTAAAGTAGCCACTAGCCACATGTGACTATTTAAAATTTAAGTAATTAAAATGAAATCAAAGTAAAAACCCAGTTCCTCAGTAGCACCAGTCACATTTCAAGCGCTCAGCAGCCATATGTGGCTAGTGGTTACCACGCTGAACAAAGCAAATTTAGAATATATCCATCATCCTGAAAGTGCTATTGGATAGGGCCAGTCTACAGAATTAAAACAAAAACAGTTGCCGTTGAGTTGATCCTGACTCATGGCAACCCATGTGTGTCAGAGTAGAACTGGGCTTCACAGGGTTTTCAATGGCTGATTTTTCAGAGGCAGATTGCCAGGTCGTTCTTCTGAGGGTACCTCTGGGTAGAACTGAACCCTCAGTCTTTTGGTTAGCAGCCAAATGAGTTGCTTGCACCAGCCAGGGACTCCTTACAGACTTTAAAAAACCACTGCCATCAAGTCGACTCCAACTCACAGTGACCCTATCGGACAGAGAAGAACTGTCCCACAGAGTTTCCAAGGCTGTAATCCTTATGGAAGCAGACTGCTCCATCTTTCTCCCATGGAGCAGCTGGTGGGCTCAAACTGCCAACCTTTTGGTTAGCAGCCAAGGACTTTAACCACTGCACCACCAGGGCTCCTTCTATAGACTTTAGCCTACACTAATAAACGATCCATAATCTTAGAAGGTAATTATTATGGCACCTACATTGGACAAGGTAGCAACAATTCTTAGTTTTTCATTCAAATGTCAGTCATGGCCTTCTTTTGTATTCAAGATCATTTTCCTACTTGACTTCTCTTATTCAGTCATCACATTTAGACAACCATATTAATTCAGCTGTGTTTTTCCCTTTTTTCCCCCCCAAATACTTGATGGAAAGCCACTTCAGCAAGGTAAATATAGTATGAGGCACGCTAACAACGCAAATAGTTTTAAAGTATGAACCTTACAAACTACAGTTACACAGAAATTTATCTTTTGGTCATATGTCTTATTCCAGCTCTTGTTAAACATTCAAGTGTTTTAAGCACAAGTGCTCTAGAAAGAAACATTTACTTCTGCTTCCAATGGATGGCCAGGAGAATTGCAGCTTATGTGTACAGACATCTTCAAGAACTTTTCAGCTGAATTATAAACAGCTCTCCTTTCTATGCTTACAAGTAGGGGAGTAAAATCATCACTTCCTCCTTCTTCTACCAAGGAGGAGAGTAGCCCATTTATGTGCAGAAACAGAAAGAGCTATATTCACCCACTCCTCATTTAAAGACTGTCTGGTTATGTGACATTTTGCTTTTACAACAATAGTGAAAAATCTACTACCTATTTGTGCATTAATGACATACATCTGGCAGTAAGGGCGCCAAGTGCTCCCTTGTGGTCCAGCATGCTCTGCTGTGTACCCCTCTGGTAACTGTGGGTGTAATAAACTTACTTTTATGGTCTCCCTGACTCATCTTTCCTCTGTTGCCCCTGATTTGCAATCCTACACTCACGTTTCCCAATGGCCAAGGCACCTCCGCTGGTACAAACAGCCAGTGACTAAAATTGCTGTCTGTCTCTGACGGTTCAGTTTTGCCAATTTCCCACTTCCGAGTTGCCAGGAGACAGAATTTTGCCTAGTAACAGTTCTCACTTGCCACTGGCTGCGGTGCCTGGAGCCTCCTCCCGAGAGGTGGCCTGGGAAATTCAAGCTCCATCTCCAGAGTTGGCAATTATGGCTGTTCCTGTGGCCGCTGCACTGGCCTGAGTCCTGGTCAGGAATGTGAATGTGCTGTGTGCAGATTATACATTAATATGTATGAAACAGAACATGAAGGTTACTTCCATTTAAATGGCAAATGTAATTTTACTCATCAAACTTCCTAGGAGTATTTGAAATGTTTTGCTCTATTTAAGCTTATTATTGCAAACAGAAAATATGAAAATGTACTTTCGGCAGCAATTTTTGAAATTTCAACCTTGTGTGCATGATAAAAAGAAAGATTCTGGAAGTTTCCCAATTGACCAATTCAAAGTTCACAGAGTTCCAAATATCTACATTTCAACTGCAGAGATTCATCTTTATAGACATTCCTGCAAATTTGTTCCAAGGTCTTATAAAGTAATAGAAATAAAATAGGCAAGAAGGAAAATAGTTAAGATATCTATATCTATCTATATCTATGCATATATTTTTAGTTGAGCGTGTTGTAACCTCCCAGCTTTGCTCTCACACAGGGCTTGTGAAAATATATTTTAGCTGCTCAAGCTTTTGAGACACAAAAGTTAACCAAATTTTTGAAAGTCCACGGTAGCTACACAGAAGATCAGAGTTGCCTAGTCCAATAAAGATAAAGCATTACACCACAGCTTTGGCTGCTATTTTAAAGTAGGGGGAAAAAAGTGGTATATGGGATAGAAAGGATATTTCCTTGACTGTTTAAGACGTGAAAGGAATAAGGTGAGAAATATGTATATATATATACTTTTTAAAGGAAGAATGATGGTTTAGGTTTGGCTCAATATAACACTATGGTCCTAGAAGTTTTGGTAGCACAGTGGAATTCAAACAGCTAACAATTTATTGTTAATGGATTCAGCTACCCAACAGGTCCCCCTTATATATTTCTACACCACAAGTATTAGTCATATCCTATCATCACAGATATATTCTGTTAATATTTTTCTTCACATCCCACAGAAACTTCTCACTAATTATCTTTACAATAAACAACTTACACTAAAGGAGTTTTCATCATCATCATGTCCTCTACGATTACGAGCTCTTCCTCTACCATTGGAGATGCTGTACAAGTCTCTTCCAAAAGGTTCAGAAAAACTTTTCATCATCTGTTGCATACTTTCTCGGTGTGCCATAAAAGAATCACTGTTGAAAATATATATAAGCACATAAGATTATGTGTTGAAATTTAAATAACGAGTTTAGGAGAATAGAATGATTTCATTAAGACTCACTACCCATAAATATAAATTTAAGAAATATTTTTCTTCTCTTATCCACTATAATTCACTACAGGGTCGCTATGAGTCGGAATCGACTCAATGGCCATGGGTTTATAATTCACTTAAATATAAAAATAAAAATACACCATTATTTATCCCTTACTGTATAAAAATGTTTAACACAAATAACACATCTCAGACGACATACCATCACTAAAGGAATTCAGACACCATCTCAAGAATAGATTTGGTACACTGAATACTAATGACCAGAAACAAGACAAGCTGTGGGATGACACCAAGGATATCATAAATGAAGAAAGAAAAACGTCATTAAAAAGACAGGAAAGAAAGAAAAGACCAAAATGGATGTCAGAAAAGACTGAAATTTGCTCTTGAACGTACAGTAGCTAAAGTGGAAGAAATGATGTAAAGAGCTGCAAAGGGCAGCTCGAGAAGACAAAGTAAAGTATCATAATGAAAGGTACAAAGACCTGGAGTTAGAAAAGCAACAACGAAGAACACACTTGGCATTTGTCAAGCTGAAAGAACTGAAGAAAAAATTCAAGCTTTGAGTGGCAATATTGAAGGATTGTATGGGCAGAATATTGAACGATGCAGGAAGCATCAAAAGAAGATGGAATGAATACAGAGTCACTGTACCAAAAAGAACTGGTTGACATTCAACCATTTCAGGAGGTAGCATATGATCCAGAACCAATGGTACTGAAGGAAGAAGTCCAAGCTGCACTGAAGGCACTGGTGAAAAACAAGTCTCCAGGAATTGACGGAATACCAAATGAGATGTTTTATCAAAAGGATGCAGCGCTTGAGGTGCTCACTTGTCTATGCCAAGAAATTTGGAAGATAGCTACCCAGTCAACTGACTGGAAGAGATCTGTATTTGTGTCTATTCCAAAGAAAGGTGATCCAACAGAATGCAGAAATTATTGAACAAAATCATTAATATCACATGTAAGTAAAATTATGCTGAAGATAATTCAAAAGTGTTGACAGTGAACTGCTGGGAATTCAAGCCAGGTTCAGAAGAGGACATGGAATGAGGGATATCACTGCTGATGTCAGATGGATGTTGGTGAAAACAGAGAATACCAGAAATATGTTTACCTGTGTTTTATTGACTATATAAAGGCATTCAACTGCTTGGATCATAACAAATTATGGATAATATTGCAAAGAATGGGAATTCCAGAACACTTAATGGTGCTCACGAGGAACCTGTACATAGACCAAGAGACAGTCATTCGAACAGAACAAGGGCGATACTGTATGGTTTAAAATCAGGAAAGCTGTGCGTCAGGGTTGTATCCTTTCACCATACTTATTCAATCTATATGCTGAGCAAATAATCCGAGAAGCTGGACTATATGAAGAAGAACAGGGCATCAGGATTGGAGGAAGACTCATTAACAACCTGCAATATGCGGATGACACAACCTTGCTTGCTGAAAGTGAAGAGGACTTGAAGCACTTACTGACGAAGATCAAAGACCACAGCCTTCAGTATGGATTACACCTTAAACATAAAGAAAACAAAAATCCTCACAACTGGTCCAATAAGCAACATCGTGATAAATGGAGAAAAGATTGAAGTTGTCAAAGATTTTGTTTTACTTGGATCCACAATCAACGCCCATGGAAGCAGCAGTCAAGAAATGAAATGACATATTGCACTGGGCAAATCCGCTGCAGAAGACCTCTTTATTAAAAAGCAAAGATATCACCTTGAGGACTAAAGTGTGCCTTACCCAAGCCATGATATTTTTAATCGCCTCATACACATGTGAAAGCTTGACAATGAATAAGGAAGACTGAAGAAGAATTGATGCATTTGAATTAAGGTGTTGGTGAAGAATACTGAATATACCATGGACTGCCAGAGGAATGAACAAGTCTGTCTTGGAAGAAGTACAGCCTGAATGCTCCTTATAGCAAGGATGGCGAGTTTTCTTCCAACATACTTTGGACATGTTATCATGAGGGACCAATCCTTGGAGAAGGACACTATACTTGGTAGAGAGTCAGTAAAAAAAAAACATGGGAGACCCTCAACGAGATAAATTGATACAGTGGCTGCAACAATAGGCTCAGACACAGCAACAATTATGTGGATTATGCAAGACAGGCCAGTCCTTCATTCTGCTGTGCACAGGGTTGCTATGAGTTGGAACCCACTCAACGGCACCTAACAACAACAACAACAGACATGCCAACAAAAAAAAAAGGAATCTGAAAAATACTGCTTCTGGGTAGAGGCTGCTTTGGGTAGTACACAGTATAAATTCTAGTGAGGACAAATATAGAATGTTGGTTTGTTTTTCAACTCTTATTTATTAAACGTGAGAATTGAGAACTATAGCTATGTTATGAACACTTTAAAGGTACAACATATATTTTAATAGGCAAAGACAAAGCTCTAGATCACCTCTAAGAGGTCAACTTTTAATTTCTAAGAACTCTAAATACTAGAAATCACCATATGGTAAAAATATCTGCTGCATTTTAAGATCGTAGTTCTCGAAACTTTTTTGAGATTACTAGCCAGCAGGTGAACCAGTTAGAAATGCCGATTCCTGCTCCCTACTCCTAGAGATGGGATCCCCTAGTCCTAAGTGGGGTTTGTGGATAAAGCATCCCTGGTGATCTTGACTTAAACAGTCCCCCCACCAACCTCTGAGGAATACCGCCCCTCTGTAGTTGTGGTATATGACTTAGTTAGAATTTAATCTGGAGATTGGAGACCCTTAAATCTTATAGGGCCACAGTAAGGAAACCTAGGATAAGGTCCAATTTTCTTTTCCCTTGGTTATGTGATAGAAAAACTGGCACACCAGTTTTCTCCACTGGTTAATAAATAAGGAAATGCTCCACAATGCATGTTATCTGGTTTAAGTTAAAGGTTGGGGTCCTGGTATTGTCTTATAACCACCTTGTGACTATCACTCAGGATCACGTGATCGTGAGTTGATCCCAGCCACCATGCAGCCAGTTAATTAAAACCCCAGAACCGATCCTCTAACCTTTTTAAACCTGTAATTATGTACGTATCCTAGTCACGGTCCCTTCTCCGCTTCTGTTGTCCTACCAACAACAGTGATGAATTGATCTGCTATCAATAATGACCTTGTGATGATTTTCTTTATCCTATATAGTATATAATGGACAACATGACTGTCATCTGGTGGATTCCTTCAGCCTCTGAACTGGGTACATGCTAACAGTGTCCCTCACTTGAATGATCGTCTTTGTCTTGGCTTAATAAAAATCTCTTTTGATTAAATCAGAGTCTGGCGTCTTTTTCCCCTATGACAACTCAAACCTCCCTTCCTGAACCTAAGTTTCCATAGCTGTAAAATGAGGATAATATATATCCCTATTGCTGAGATTAAATAATGTATCTGAAAGCACAAAGCACAGTAACAGGCCCATATAATATGCTGGAAAAACGTTAACTTCCCTTACCTTCTCTTCTTAATTCATGTACAGATGCCATTCCCTACTATTCTATTATTAAGTACCTCTCACGGAAAAGAGACTTATTTAAAAATGCATATACCAATTATCATGTTCCAGGACCTATTCTATATGTTTTACAAATATTGACACTCAGCTCCTATCTGATGTTACCTCTTTCATCCAAAGCTCCATTCAAGAACCTAAAATTTCTATTGCCTACCATAGTGATTTTCCTACTTTGTTCCAGTTGAAAAGTCAGTGACCCACTGGTCAATTACTTATTGCTCATTCTAGAACTTAATGCATGCCATGACTGGAGTCCACTTTACCAAGTCAATCTTATTCTTCTCTGCAGTCCAGTAGAGTCCTCCAGTTGCCCTCGCTCCTTTCAGTCTTCTCCACCTCAGTTTAATCCTCCTTAGGTCACCCTTCTCCCTTCTAATCCAATTACAAACATCTGATGTCACCATGAGGATGCTCAAAAACGTCTATCTTCCTCCAGTAGTTCCAGGCAGAAAGAGCTTTTCCTTTGAACTCTACACTATTTGTACACATAAATCTATCCCAAGGGAGCTCAAAATTTATTAATACATTACTTTGGAAATCAAAAATATAATTGCTTCATATGCAGACATCCCTTAAATCTAGTTATGTTATTTAGTAAGATCAGCAAATAGCTTAGCTGGATTTGCATTTGTGTCTGCAGAAAGGTTGTTTTAATTCAGCTTTCTTGACGTATACTTTACATACAGGAAAATTCACCAGTCCAGATGTACAACATATGCATAACCTGCCCCAAATTTTCCCCTTGTCCCTTTGTAGATAATTGCTGTTAGTTGCCAGAGTCAGCTCCAACTCGATGGTGACCTTACACATAACAGAATGAAACATTGTGTGGTCCTGTGCTATCTTCATGATCGTTGGTATGTTTCAATCCCTTGTTGCAGCTATTGTGTCAATCCATCTCATTGAAGGTTTCCCTTGGCCCTCTACCATACATGATGTCCTTTTCTAGCAATTGGTCTTTCCTGCTGATGTGTCCAAACTAAGCAAGGTGAAGTGTCACCCTCCTTGCTCCTAAGGAACATTTGTTTGTATTTCTTCTAAGACTGCTTTGTTCATTCTTCCAGCAGTCCTATTCTTCGCCAACACTACTGTTTGAACGCATCAATTCTTTCAATTCTTCTGTCTTCCTTTTTCATTGCCCAGTTTTTGCATGTGTATGAGGAGACTGAAAAATAATGGCTTGGGGTAAGCGCACCTTAGTCATCAATGTAACATCTTTGCTTTTTAAAACTTTTAAGAGGTCTTTTGCAGCAGATTTGTCCAATGCAATACATCATCTGATTTTTTGACAGCATGTTCCATGAACACTGATTGTTGATCCAAGTAGAATGAAATCATTGACAAGTTCAATTTTTTTCTCCATTTATTATGATGTTGTTT